CCGATATTCCCATCTGGAAAACGCTGTTTTGCTGCTGGAGTCCTCCTCACTCTCCATCTCTCTGTGTGTGAGCCAATCTCATCCTCCCCTCTCTCATGACAAGGCACACCTGAGTCCTATCATGAAAAAAAGGTTCATTGTGCGAGCTGAGTAACGTGCAGTAACGGGGTGTCAGCAATGGTAACTGCGTTATAGTTACAGTCAAAGTAATTAGTTAGATTACCTCGTTACTAAAAAAAGGGTAACGACCTTAATACCGCCGTTACTTTCGACGCCGTGACTCTCATCACTGATAACATGGATGCAAAACACCTCATTTTATTTCAGCGTTAAATTCTGTTTAAAGTAACAGATCATTAAAAATGTCTCCTGACCTTTATTGGTTGATAATTTTCTTTATTCGGACCCGCTGATTTTTAATTGGTTACCTGGTTTAATGTTTATAAATATTTATTTCACGTCATGTGCACCATCCAGTGCAGATCATTGGTACCATCCACATCTAGTGAAAACTAGTGTAATTGGATGAGTCATATAATGCAAACACTCATTGGTTAGCTAAAGGAAATCATCAGAAGCAAGCAGGGGTTCTTCAAACTGTAAACTTGAATTGTCTATGCAATGGTACAATGTTGGATGCAGAAAAATGTTGAAATGTCTGAAAGGTCGGACACAGGTGAGAGCGTATCGGGAGTAAAGACGGAGACCAACAAGACCTCCCTCATCCTTTGCCCTATCTCAAAGAATTTTTCTAAATAGTCGAAAAATTAAGCTTTCAATTCATATAGCTGCATCTGGCTGTTTTTTTTAAAGGGTACTTGATACTTTTATACTTTAAGTAGTTTTTGGAACACGTACTTTTTCACTTTTACTTGAGTAAAGAGGTCAAGTTGATACTTCAACTTTTACCAGAATGTTTTTAAACTGCAGAATCTATACTTCTACTTAAGTAACAAATGTGTGTATTTTTGACACCACTGATAGCAAGTGACAAACTTATGAAGATTATGTCTAATTTAAGTAATGATATTGAAGAAAAAAATTCAATGATAACAAATATAATATGCAAATCTGCAGAAAAGGCCATTGGCAAATCTATTGGATTAAAGGAAAATATAAAAGGCTCCTTGGTGTAACAATGAATGTAAAGAAGCTATTAAAGTTAGGAATGAAGCTTTTAGAAGGTTAAAATTAAATCATTCATTTGAGAATTTAATAACATATAAAAGAGAACAGTCTAAAGTTAAGAGAGTAGTAAAATTATCTAAAAAGAATTATTGGAGGGGTTTTTGTAGTACGATTGGAACAGACGTTAAAATAAACGAGATTTAAGGAATGATTAGAAAAATGGGGGGAATTAGAAAGGATTTTTCTTTACCTATAATTAAAGCTAATCAGCGTGAAGCTATAACAATCCAGGGAAAAGCAGAAATGTTTGCTAGGTCCTTTGTGGAAGTGCATAGTTCTCAAAATTTATTCAATCAAGAATTATGGTAGAGATTGAAAATGATTGAAGATAATAGATACATTTTAAATAGGAAAGAGACAGATGGATCTGTTTTAGATGAAGATTTTACACTGTTTGAAATGAATATAGCTTTGATTGGAGTTAAGAATACATCTCCAGGTAAAGACAGGATATGTTATAAGCTAATTGAACAGTTATCAGATGCTGCTAAAGGAATAGTTTTAAATTTATACAATAAGATATGGGAACAAGGTGAATTGCACACTAGTTGGAAAAATTCAATTGTTGTACAAATAGTAAAGCCAGTTAAGGATAAAAGGAGAGGTTAAAAGTTATAGGCCCATAGCTCTAACATCTAATTTATGTGAATTAATGGAGAGAATGATAACTAAGAGATTATTGTATGAAATAGAAAAAAGAGGCCTTTTATCTCCTTATCAGAGTGGTTTTAGGAATGGACGGACAACAGTAGTTTCAATTGTTTGTTTAGAAAATGAAATAAGAAAGGATCAGTTAAATATAGAAATTCTTTTAGCTATGTCTTTTGATATTGAAAAGGCATATGATATGCTTTGGAATGAGTGTTTATTAATAAAGATGGATAAAATGTGAATAAAAGGGAAAATGTTTAATTGGATTAAGGACAGTTATTATAAATTATTCAAATATTTATGCTATACAAAATGGAACCCTACAAGGTAGTGTATTTAGTCCACTGCTTTTTAATATAATGATTAATGACATTTTTGATAATATAGATGTTAGAATTAGTAAAGCATTATATGCAGATGATGTAGCATAATGGGTGAAAGGAGGAAATATTAGTCATTTAACAAATAAAATGCAATCAGCAATTAAAACGCATGACTGGGGGTTTCATTTTTCTGTTGAGAAGACACAAGTTATATGTTTTTCAAGGAAAAGGGTTAATCCTACAATAGATCTTAGATTATATGGACATAAATTGAAGCAGGTTAATATCGCAATGTTCCTCAGCATATGGTTTGTTGTACTATTATTTTTTATGCTTCTTCTTCAGATTATTGTTGATTGTTGTAAAGGAGTTGTTATTTTTTTATGTTTTTTGTGGGGTGATTGTTGGGGGGCAAGCAGCTCTTTTTTGGGAATATTTTATGTTTTTTTTATTTGTTTTTTGTTGTATTGTTGTTTTATTTTTTATTCGTCTGCTGCTTCTTTTTTGTTATTTGTTTTTGGTATCCTCGCTGCTGCAGTTCTTCTATTTTGTTGTGGTTGTTTTAGCTCTCCTTTTCCTTGTTTTTCGGTTGTTTCGGGGGGAATTGCCATTGGCTTTAGGGCGGAGGAGGTTTTCAATAAATTATTGGTTAAATTTACAAGGGCATGAGGAAAATCATCCTACTAAACAGGTCTTTAGAGAATGTTGGGAATATGGCCGTAACATTAGGAGTTTTTGATGGGAAGGAAATATTTATGCAGATTATTTGGGGATAAATAATTAAGCATGCTGCAAAACTGTAATTAAATCTAAAATTGCTCCGTGGTTATCCGAAATGCCAATAGTAAATTTAGAAACCAAAAAAATAGAACAGTCTTGTGGAGTTTTGCATCAAATTATTCAGCAGTATTTAGGTATAATGTATTAAAATATGACGCAAATATATACAGATAGCATTTTATGTTCAGAAACAAAAAGTTTTTATAAAAAGAAGAACAACAGATCATTTATCAATTTTTTAGCAGAGATGTTGGCAATTGTTTTGGCTGTGGGTGAAGCCTAATAAGGTAGATATCTGTTCAGATTCAATGTCTTGCTTAACAGGTATTATAAGTGGAAAATCGGAAACCCATCAAGATCTTTTAGACGAAGTTAGTTATTTGTTATATGGTATAAAGCAACAAAAAATAAGTTTACAATTCACATGGGTTCCAGCACATAATGGAATTGTAGGTAATGAAAAAGTAGAT